CGCCAGCACCCCCTCCCAGCTGGGGAGCCCCTGGGGGAAGCCCCTGAGTTTGCTGCACAGAAAGAGGCTGACTGGCCAGGAGGGTGAAGGGAAGACCTACTGTGTGCGGACGCTTGCCCCTGGGGAGCGAGGCCCTCGGTGCTCCTGGGAGCGCACCTGGGTTGATCCCTTCAGGTCGGTACCTGTCTGTGGCCGGCGCTGTGCCTGGGGGGGGCCCCATGGTGAGCAAAACAGACGCAAGCCCCACCCTCACGGAGTCTGCGCTACGGTGAGAGAGACAGGGTGAACAACCAGACACAGAATAGGACGTCAGGCAGCGGTCAGTGCTGGGAAGAGAAATACGCCTGCGAGGAGACAGGGGAGCGGACTCTCTGATAGGGGGAAGTGCACAGAAGCCGGAAGGGGAGCTGGGAGAAGAGCGTTCCCGGGTCGAGGGGGCGGCCAGCACCGAGGCCCGTAGCCAGAGTGAGCTCGGCGGAGAGCCCGGGGCTGCAGTGGCCGTCAGGAGCCAGGCCCCGCCTGGGGCTGGGGCTTCACTGGGGAGCAGTGGCCCCGTCTCACGTCTAGGCTGCTGTGTCGAGAATGCACGCTGGGGGTCGGGCTCAGAAAGTAGGGGTCCCCGCTGGCTCAGTCACACCGCCCAGCCCACAGGGCCTTGCTCCTTGCTCACACTGTTCTCCAGCAAGTCCCAGAGAGAGGGTGGTGGGGACCAGGGTGCCGCCTGCCCCTCCCGTCACCTGCCCAGCAAAAGCCCGGCACAGCCCCCACACCTGCCTGCAGAGCCACATGAGCCAGCCCCTGCTTGTGCTGTGAGTGGTCCCATAGTTACTTTATTCACTCGTCCAGCAACACTTGAGGGCGGGGTGGGCCCGGGGAAAGGAAGAGGGGACATGCACGGGGGTCACTGCTTTCAAGGAGCTCCCATTCTCGGGGGGACAGGGTGAGCAGGGGGCTCAGGAGGATGCCCAGCAGGGCAGGCCGACTCCACGTGGCCGTGAGCAGCGGGCACACGGCTGGAATCACAGACTCACACGTGACGACCTCTAGGAGGCCGAGAGTACGAACCGCACGCCCCGGACCCTGCACCCCGGCCCCATAAACGGTGAAGAACCCAGGCGCAGGGAGAGAATGGGAAGGGCCCGGGGTCATGCCAGAACTCAGGGACCCAGGCTCTTCCTATTGAGTCAGCCCTGAGGAAGGAGCTCCCCCGTGAGTGGGGTGCCCCAGGGCGAACCGGGAGGAGACCAGACCACGCCCAGCAACAGGGTCCGAAGACCCTTCCTCGCCTGGCCTGAGTCGGCAGCCAGAGCACGGCCAGCCACACCACAGAATCACGAAGAAGTTTCCACCTGCGGCTGACACTCCAAGGCTCGATTGTGGGACAGAGGCAGGGTCCCTTCTGCAGGCCCTAGGAACCAGCTCCTGAGGAGGGGACCTCGGCCTGAGTCCGTGACAGCACCCCTCGGCCCCCTACGACAGTGATGAGTTCAGGGGACTGTCAGTAACATTCTTAATCATGACAGAACCTTTGGCCTTAAGCTCTTCTCTCACTTCAGTCACCCACTTTCCAGGAGAGCTAACTCAGAGCCCGGTCTCCAGCGTGGAGCCCCAGGCGCAGCCCCCCGGCTCCGCCCTCCAAGGGCCACCTCCTGGCTGACGCAGGCCCCTGCGGCCTGCTGGGGGCCGCCTGGGCGCTGCCAGTCCCGGGAAGCTGGCCAACTGCAAAACGTGGGATTTTTTTTTTTTTATGTTTGATCAAGTAGAAAATCCCTATTTCCAAATGAAAGCAGGCAGGAATGCCCAAACAGGAGACTTATAAAAGCAGCGTTGCCACCCCCACCTCCCACCGACTCACCCCGCCACTATGGCCAAAGCCGTGGCCCCCACCCCTCCCCGGGAGCAGACTCAGCCGGCCCTGGCCTCCGCTCCCCTAAGACTGGAGTCCTGTCCCCTGCAGCCGGCTTCTGGCCGTCAGAAGGGGCTGCCACCTCCACGTCCCGGGCCTAAGTGTGCACACCTCGGAGGCAGGTGAGGCGGGGCCTTGTCATCCTTGCTGGGCAGAAAAGACACCAAGCCCAGAGCCGGACACACTTGCCCCAAGCCCTGTGGGCTGCTTGGTGGCAGAGCAGTGACCGGAAGCCAGATGCTCTGCCTCCTGGCCCCTTGCTGATTCTTGGAGGTGGCAACTGCCTGGAGGACAGAGGTGACCGGGAACAAGGACCCGAAAAGGAGGGGCAGATACAATAGTCCCAGGTGGGCCCACCAGGTGTCCCACTACCTGAGCCTCCAGCCGTGTCCCCCCGACCCTGCTGTGACCACCACGGCAGCACACAACTCCCTCCAGAGCCGAACCCAAAGCTAAGAAAGCCCCCGGTCCCAGGCCTGGCCCAGGCGCCGGGTCCTCGGGGTACTGCGGGAAGTTCAGGGGCCACCGGGAGACCCCCTAGCGGAACAGCATGGTGTGGAAACCCCGCTGGCTCAAAGTGGATTTCAAGGCCATTCAGCGCCCTGAAGCAGGCGGAGAGCCCCGGGGCGGGGCGCCCAGGGCTGGGCCTGGCACTCACACCTGCCCATGGAGTCCAGCACCTTAAGGGACCGTGGAGCCTGACACTGGGAGTGTTGGTGGGGACTCCAGAGTCCAGGCATTCTTGGGGATTCTGTTTACACTTGGCGTTTGCTGTGATTCCCAGGCTGCACCCTGACCGTGTGTGGACGGGGGTCTCAGCCGGCCTCCTCCGCCCAACGGGACGGAGCCCTGAGGAGGAGGAGGGAGCCAGCTCTTGGACCGTCCCGGGTCCCCTGACCAAGGGCTACCGGCTGCCCCGCCCCCAGGGGCAGGGAAGGTCCCTAACACATAAATCACCTTCCCGATAATATTTGTATTGATCATCTAGATTGGAAGCCTTGGTGGGCTCCATTGTCTCACTTCCTCTGCCAGGGTTCACAGATGGGGTCCCGGCCCCCATCTGCGTTTCTAATGTGACATTTAAATGGAACAGCCTCCGTGCCAGCAAGGCCCCTGGCTGCCCTGGGTGCCGGGGTGGGGGGGGGTGAGAAAACGTATTCCTTGAGAGAGAATTATACATCTAGAGTTCGTAGAGCTGGAGTGGAAGCCAGGAGGGGCTGGTCCCTGGACACTCAGGGTAGAGACCCTTAGTGTCACCTGGGCTTGGGCCCCCCCCCCGGACCCACTGAGTGGACATCGGCATTTTCATGAGAGCACACCCACCCCGTGACTTCCCTACAGGTTAATGTGTAAGAAGCGCCACTCTGGTCCAACCCTTGTCCTGAAGGGAAACCGAGGCCCAGAGAAGGCACAGGCTTGCCCGAGGTCACACAGCAAGCGAGCTCCCCCCGAGCCTCCTGTTCACACAGAGGAGATGGGAGGGCACGTGGTTTCCGGAGCGCGGGGCCCGCCGTTTGCCAGGCCCCTCTCCCTCCCGAGCTCCTGCCTCCTGTCCCAGGGTGTGGACAGATGGTTCAGACCCGAGTCCGACCCCCCTGTACTCACCCAGCCTGGAGGGGCCAGCAAGAGCTCCAGGGACTCCCCAGGAGGGCACCTCCTCCCGCCCGGGCCAGCCAGCTGCCCCCTTCCCTGGCAGCAACTGGACAGCAGATCCCAGGGAAAAGCGCCACCTGGGTTTGCCCAGCACAGCCAGACATCCGGAGGGGGGGCCCCGGAGCAGCAGAGGCCCCAGAGAGGCGGCCAGCAGAGGGCCTGGGAGAGGTGGGGAGCAGGGCCCAGAGCCGTGGTCCAGGGAAGGAGGCAGAGAGGACAGAGACGCTGCGGAGGGGGAGGCAGCGCGAGGACCGGAAACAAAGAGCAGGAGAGATGAGAGAGAGACCCGGTGAGAGCAGCAGCAGCCAGACTGAGAAAGGAAGGAGGGGAAGAGGGAGGCAGGGGAAGGGAGGTCGAGGAGAGTGATGGGGCCGGGAGAAGGCAGAGAGGCAGCTGGCCTGGAGCGGGGGAGCCCGGGTGGCCCAGCCCTGCCCGGCCTGGCCCGGCCCAGCCCCCAGTGACGGTGCAGCTGCCACACTCGGGCCCTACCATGAGGTCAGCCCTGCCCCGGGGCTGCAGGAAAATAAATGGTGTCTAAGATAAAAGGTCCAAGAAATTATTTGTCTTGTTGTCACGTCTTGACTGCAATGGGCAGGGGCCGGCGGGGCATCATCCCAGAAAGAAAGCTGGGGCTGCCAGGCCCCAGCGTACACCCGGGACCCCGCCCCAGCCCCCCGCCTCCAGCCTCGGCCACCCACGGCCCCGGCCCTCCATCTCCCAGAGCCTGGCCCGGAAGGCGGGAATGGCAGGAGCGTGGCTGGGGTTTGCTCAGCCCTTGTCCCCAGGTCCCCTCCAGGCCCTGGGAAGACGGAGTCCTGCCTGTCTTGCTCCCCACTGAGGGTCTCTGGGGGCTGGGGCCTTGGGCAGAGAAGGGGGTCAGGGTGTCCCACTCCTCCCAGCCCCTTTGCAGAGGCAGCTGGTGGTTCCCGAACACCCGATTCCAGGGTCAAGGCCAGGTCAAGAAGACGGTATCGCCCAAGGTGCTGTCCGCATGCCTCACAGGTACACAGGCTCAAGCTCACACGCACACGCACGCAAGCACACTTGAACACACACACACACACACAGACTCACACTCCAGGCCGATTCTCACCACCACCAGCAACACCCACAAAGCATCACCCAGAGGTTCCCACCCCTCCAAGCCTCTGAACCTGGGGCTGGTGGACCAGGGCCACGGGGCACAGCCACCTGCCTTGGGCCGTCCCCAAGCGAGCCCCTGATAGCCGGACAACTGCCATTTATGGGGCATTGACCAGTAAAAGCATTTTCTATGCACCTCTTTGGCTGGTGCTCCCAGCGAGGCTCTCCCCATTTCACAGGCGAGGAAACCGAGGCCCCGAAAGGCTCAGTGTCAGGAGCAAGATCACACAGCCAGGGCCCGGCAGAGCTGGGACATGCAGCTGAGGTCTCTGAGGCTGCGGGAGGGGCTGGCACCTACCATACTTGTCCCCATCCTCGCCACGGGCACTGATCCTGCGGCCCAGGACCTGGATGTGCTTGCCGCTGGTCCGGCTGTAGAGCTGGTACAGCCGCAGCTGCTTACGGCTCACATCGTCCCGAGCCCGCGTCTGGTTCTCCACGTGGATCCGGAAGTCCACGTTCTCCTCGGCCACCAGCACCTGGGGAGGGAAAGGAGTGTCGGTGACCCCCCTGCAAGTCCTTGGTCCCCTGCGCACCAGGGCCTCTTCCGCGCCAGCTCCAGGCCAGGCCTCCACACACACTCGTAACTGCCCCGTTCCCACCCCCATTTCACAGAGGCGGCAACTGAGGCTCACTCGGAGAGGTGAGGCGAGCTGCCCGCGGCGGCCCAGGCAGGGGGTGGCAAAGGCGGGAATCAGGCCGGGCCTGTTTGAAACAAAGCTTGCTATTTTTCCACCTCAGCCCCAAGTGAGAGCAGGCAGCGTGGGGCAGAGGTTTCGCTCGTGACCTTGGACACACAGTTTGTTCTGTCTCAGGTTCCTTCCCAGCGAAACGGTGGAGCGGAGCCCTCACTCTGGCTGCATCCCACGGTGGCCGGTGGCCGTGAGGTTCAAACGAGGAAGTGGGCGGGAAGGTCCCCGGATCGGCATGGAGATGGGAGCGGGTGGGGAGCACAGGGCTACTACTTCTCGGGGCCTCGGTGGGGAGGAGGGGGACCGGGCAGGTCTCATTCCGGGAAAGAATGGGCCAGAGTTCACTCTCCCAGACCTGGTGCTCAGGGGGTCCCCAGGGGACCACCAAGCAGCTGCCCATGTCCCGTCTCCCGCTGCAGCAGCCTTCATTCTGCTCCCCCGTCCAAACATCCGGTGTCCCTACGGCCTCAGTGCGAGCGTGCGTGACCGGATCCTGCAGAAGCCGCCCCTGGCTCCGCCCACTCTTACCTCCTCAGTCTCCCTTCTCCCAGCATAGCCCCCCACCTGCCTCCTGCTTCCACTCCTGCCGTCCTGGTTGTCTCTCCTCCCGCAAACCCAAGTAGCTCCGGGACCCTGCCTGCACACCCCCGGGGGCTTCCCATGCACTTAGAGGAAGTCCCCACCGCAGCCTCGAGGCCCTGCCGGTGAGCCTGCTGGCTCCCCCACCCCCCACCTTCATCTCCTACCTACCACTCCCCCCCACCAGCTACACTGGCTGCCTCATCACCCCCCTCTGAGCTTTCCAAACACAGAGGGCACAACCGCCTCAGGGCCTTTGCACGTGCTCCTCCTGCCACGGACGCTCTCTCCCAGGTCTTTACATTCTGGCTCCTCTATTTCGTCTGGGACTCTGCTCCAATGTCACGTCCTGAGACCGGCCGGCCTTGACTGCTGTGTCCCACCTCTGCCACCGCCCATCACTCAACCACGGCTTGCATTTCCTCCCGGCACTGCGACCAGACGTAACGCCTATTCATCTGGCGTGAGTCTGTCCTCCTGACCCCACCGGCAGCCCCGGGACGCCGCGGCTGTGCCTGTGTCCTTCGCTGCTACATCCCCAGCACAGGCGAAACGTGAACTTTTGTTGAGTAAAGGACTAGAGACAAGAACACATGAGCGCTGCAACAATCTGGAGTCCTGTCACTCCATTTGACATTAAATTAGGTTTTTCTATGCCCTGCTAATGACACACCTGCCCGGCTCTTCGTAACCACAAGGCTGAATGATTCTTAAACCCCAGACAGGCAGCGTTCTGGGTTTATTCTGCGGACCTGGCATGATGCTCGGCACTAGGACCTCGGTCCCACGACAGCATAGCCTGCTCAGCCCTGGCAGAGCTCTTGGGACCCAGGCTGCATCTGTCTCGCCCCTCAGCTCTGAGCCGCCAAGGTCAAGAACCATTTTCCCCTCGTGGCCACACCCACCACGCCCAGCCCAGGGTCTCTGCCCCCAGCAGACCTGCACATGACCCTCCCACCCCGGCCTGGACCCCACAGGCACCTCAGCTGGACCTCACTACCCGCCCCCTCACTACCATCCTCGGGGGGAAGCCTCGGCTCAGGTTACAGACGAGGAAACTGAGGCTCTGAAGCTGAATGACAAAGTCACAGAGCAGGTGATGGTCACCCAGACCCCACCTTCGGCCCCACCTTGCTGGACCCCACCTGCCCCGCCAGGGCCATCCGGAGCAGGTTCAAGACCCAGAGCACGTGGCTTCCTGGCAAAGGGACCCCAGGCAACTCACTAACCTCCCTGGGCCTCAGTTTCCTCACCTCTAACGTGAGGGTGAGCACAATGGCACCCACCTCTGGGTGCTGGGGCTAAACATGCGAGGTCCCAGGACAGTGCCTGGGCCAGAGTAAGGGCCCAGCAGGGGGACTGCTGGGACACTGCTGGAGGAGATGCCAGGTGGCCCGCCTGGGGACAGGCCCTCAGGGAAGCCCTGCAAGCAGAAGCTTCTTGGGGACACAAGCAAAGCACTGTCTTTGTCCTTTCAGACAAGGTACTTCCGGGGCAGGGGCTACAATTTAGGAAGCTATTATTGCTTTTGATCATCTGGACCACCCTGCAGCATGGGGATGCTTATCAGATCCATTGAACAGATGCAGACACTGAGGCTCAGCAAAGGCAAGTCAGTTGCTCTGAGTCGCACAGTCCGGTGACAGGGAGCCTGGCCGCCGGCCCACCGAGCATGCACACCCTTCACTCCCACCACCCTCGTGGCCAGCCCCCCGCCACCCTTCACAGCCAGGACCCAATGGTTCCACTTCCCGATACGCAGGGAGGGAAGAGCTGGAGGGGGTGGTGGACATGGGTCCTGAAGACCGCCCGCCCACCCACCCGCCCATGGCCCTCAACCTCCCTGGCATGACTTCCTGCAGAGGCCTGGCCGTGTCCCCTCCCCCAGGGGCAGGTCTCCAGCCTGCCTCCCTGCCCTCCGACTCTCCTCCTGCTCACAGGAGACCTTATCGACCAGAGGTCAAACCAATCTCCTCACCCCAGGTCCCTGAGGGGAGCGGCCCTGCCCCAAAAGCCAGGCTCCCATTAACAATTTTCTCCCTGGCGCCCCGGACAGAGGCGGCGTGGTGACCCGGGGTCAGCGGGGGCCATCCGGTGGCCCTTCCCCAGGATGTGGGAAGAACCATCCATCTTGCCCAGCCTCCACCATTCAAGTCACACTCTGTCACATAAATCCCAAGGGAGGTGGCAGGAGTGGCCTCTGACATGGAAACAGAGTCCGTCCCCCGGACAAGGCGGGAGGCCCCTGGGCCCCCCAGGGGAGACTTCTGGGTGCTCCAGGCCTTTGCACGGGCCCAGGCACCCTGCCCCTTCCGCCCACCTGACACCTGTCCTCAGTGCCTCATCTGGAAGCCTTTCCTGCCCTGCCCCACCCCAGGCTGGCCGAGGGCCTCTGGACACTGTGGCTTACTGCCCCAGCGTCCGGCGTGTCTGTTCTCCCTGTTCCTCCAGCCCTGCCCCCAGGAGGCATCCCGCAAACGTGCGCTCGATGCTTGCGGCCAGGACCAGGGAAACCTGGTGGCCACTGCTTCCTACCCAAGCAGAGCGCCCAACACAGGAATGACAGGGGGAGTGCCAAAGCTATCGGGTCCTGTCCGGGCTCTCTGCTACGGAGCCTTTCCATATGGCGGCACCTTGTCTAAGTCCCTCAGCCACCCAGGGAGGCAGGCTCCAGGGAGAGCCGGAGCGGAGCGCAGGTCCGACCTCTGAGGCAGCTCTGGGGCCCACGGGGCCCCCGGGGCGGCCTGCTGGGCTCACGCAAAGCGGCGGACTCAGGGCTGGTCCACCTCCCGCTGCACTGCTGCTGGGAAGCAGGGTGCTTGGCCTCGCTGTCTAAGAGGAGGCCTGTTTTCCCAGCCTTCCTAGAGCAGCCAGACTCCTCTCCAGGGGTCCGGTCCTGGGGCGGGGGTGGGGGGTGTTGAAACACTGACTCCCTGATCCAGGAACTGCCCAGGGGCAGCAAGAGTCCCACAGGTACAACTCTCTCCCCAGCCCTGCCCCCCAGGCCCCTCGGGGACGTGGTGCTGAGTGGGACAGGGCCACCCCCTGCACCTGCAGCCTCACCCTGGTCAGCGCGGGGCTGTTTCTCTGCTCCAAACCCCACCCGCCTCCCCGCTGCCCACAGCACGGCGTCCCCAGGAGGGAACGATCTTCACGCTCTGGCCCTGCCTGCCTTCCGGGCCTCCGCTCTGAGGCTCCTTGATCAGCACCTGCTGTGGGGTGAAGAGGCTCAGGCGATGGGCCCCTAGCCCAGGGCCAGCTTCCGGACATCAGCCCCAGTCCCCCCTGCACCCCACCTCCTCCCTACACACTGCCACAGCTCCGGCCACCCGCGCTCCCGGGAGGTTTCAGCCTCACTCACCCACTCCTGGCTCTGAAGCTATGTTTGGGGGCTTCCTGCGTCTTCCCGAGACACAGCCCCACGCCCCGCAGGTATCTGCCACATCACACGTCACCCACGACACACACTACACAAACACACTCACACCATGCACTCCAGCAATCCGATAACCAGCACCGTCTCAGGGGCTTCCTGGCCACGCCCCACGACCAACTTCTTTGATTTCTGTGACCCTGTTTTCTCGCCCGCAGCATGGGAGTCGTCGCTGATACGGACATCAGACAAAGGTTGCACTCGTAGCAAGGGTCATGGCCTTTCCCCTTTTGTCTGGTTCCCAAACAGCCACCGCGTTAACAGTTATCAAACGCATGCTCCGAGTTAAGAGCCACGTGAGGTCAGGGATGCTACGGACTCCCCAGAGTGGCCCTGAGGGTGGTGTGGTTACTGCCCCCATTTTACAGATGGAGTAACTGAGGCTCGGAGAGGTCACATCACTTGTCCAAAGTCAGAACTGGTGAGAAAAGGAGCTAAGCCTCACATCCAGCTCCCCCTCCGTCTAGTGTAGACACAGGGCTTTCCACCCCACCCCTGTGGCCGGCTCCCACCTCCTTTCCTTCCCCTGGCGCCTTCCCCCTCTTCGGGGCAGCAGTTGGGTCTGGCTACCAGCCATCACTGTGGGGCAGGGCCAAGGGTCAGACTGCCCCTCCCGCCCAGGTGCCCATCCTCAAGGCCTCGAACGAGCTGTGCCCCTGTCTGCAGGCAGCCTGCCCAGAAAGGGTCCCCCTGGTCCGCGGAGGGGCGGCCCACAGACTTCCAGCCACATCCCACCACCACCAGCCTCCTCCAGTGGCAGCAGCAGCCGCCACCA